ATGCACTGTCAGACCCCCAATGTGTCAGAACTCCCAATACTGTCAGATGACCCCCCCAATGCACCAGTTCCCCCCATACTGTCCAGACCCCCAATACTGCAAGTTCCTCCATACTGTCTAGACCCCCAATACTGTCCAGACCTCTCCCACAATGTCCAGACCCCCCAATACTGTCCAGACCCCCCCATAATGTCCAGGACGCTCCCCCCATAATGTCCAGACTCCCCAATACTGTCCAGACCCCCATACTGCAAGTTCTCCCCACAATGTCCAGAACCCCCACAATGTCCAGACCCCCAATAATGTCCAGACCCCCCAATAATGTCCAGACCCCCTCCCCCCTGATGGCTGAGAGTGTTGTGAGCGAGGCTTACCTGATAGGTGTCAGGATGCAGTGCAGACACCGCGCATGCGCACTCAGGGGTAGGAGATTTCTTAGCAGAAGATATGGCCATCAGATTTCTATACCCCCTCAGTGCGCATGCGCGGTGTCAGTGGCTGTCCTGGCTGGGTAGGCGCGTGCGCAGTGTGGGGCAGGGAGATCGGATGAATATTCGGCTGAATCGATCTCCCTGCCCGCTGGTGCGCACGCGCGCTGTATCCCGCTGGCTGTGCCCGACGGGAGTACTTAGCTGCTCCCCTACCTCCCCCCTCCCTTGTGGCTCCAAGCGCAGGCGCAGTGTGGTATTCGCGCATGCGCAGTAGGCACCCTCCTATCTGTAGTGTGTTAGAAATTTTCTCCTACCTGTTCCTCTGCGCCTGCGCAGCGCTGTGCTCCTCCTTCTCCAGCTCCGAATCGTCATGTCCGGTGCGGCCGCGTCACATCCGGTGCGGCCGCGTCACTTCCGGTATACCAATCTGACAAGGTATACTTATCTGACGGAACACCTGTCAGGGAGATCCTTGATCTCCCCACCGGCCCGTCGTGGCACAAAGCGGGGCCGGCGCTGGGAGAGTGCCGGCCCTGCATAGACCGGCAGGGGAGATCCTGGGACCTCCCCTGCCGGCCTCGGCCCCACGGACACCGCGGCCCACCGGGCATTTGCCCGGTATGCCCGATGGCCAGTCCGGGCCTGGTGGGGTGGAATCTAATATGAGTAGAAGGGCAAGCGTCTTCAACTGTTGGAACAGCGATTTTACTTAAAATGGGAGAGTGTGTGTAGATACATGTTGGTGCTGTTCGAAAATGAGGAACGCATGTAAAGTTTACAATAGTGGAGAGTTATTCAGGGAAATGTGAGTAACAGATAATCTATTTAAAATATTATGGAACATGTTGGGTCACGGAAATTCTTTGAACTGATGATAGGGAAACATGTAAAAAATGAAAGACAACCAATAGGAAGAATATTACAAAAGTAGTAGAGGTACAATAGATACTGCTAACAGAAAACAGTCTGTTCCAGTGTCTGGATTAATCACTGAGAGCACTATCTGCTCTCAGGCTTAGAGAACATATCACGCTAAAGGTGACATGATTCACTTTTAAAGCATGACAGAACTAAAAGGTGTACGCAGAATAGAGATTTGCTTAGAGTTAACGACTTTAAGTTCTAAAATCAATATTGGTTAATGAAAACCAAAGGTAAAAAAAACTAAACAAAACAAAAAAACCTCCAGAAAATAAAATAGTAAAAAGTGTATGCTAGGTATGATCTCTGTAAGGTATATACAGTGCCTTGCTTAACCCCTTAAGGACTGGACTGTTTTTGCAATGTTGTACGGTTCGCCACGAACGGTTCGCCGCGGACTCATCATTGAGTAAACTTTGACCCTGTACCTCACAGTCAGCAGACACATTCCAGCCAATCAGCAGCAGACCCTCCCACCTCCTGGACAGCATCCATTTTACATTCATTGTGAAGCTGCATTCTTAGTGAGCTGTCCAGGAGGTGGGAGGGTCTGGGAGGGAGAGTCTGCTGCTGATTGGCTGGAATGTGTCTGCTGACTGTGAGGTACAGGGTCAAAGTTTACTCAATGATGAGTCCGCGGCGAACAGTTCGGGACATCACTATCCGCTACTGATCTATTACCTGGTCGGACCCTAAGCAGAGCTTTGCCAGCAGAAGCAACCCAACTGGGTTGATCAAATGTGCGTTTGAAAGCTGTCAAAAAGTCTGCAAAGGACATTGGGGACGTATTCTCCCACATGGGATTAGCCCATGCTAAAGCTTTCCCGGACAAGTGGTTAATTAAAAAAGCAATTTTGGTTCTATCAGTGGGGTAGGAACGAGGATTCATCACCAAATGAATATCAATTTGGTTGAGGAAACCACGACACAATGCTGGATCACCGCTATAGCGCTGTGGTGGCGTCATGTGAACCACGTGAGCAGGAATGGGTACTGGATCGGGAATGGGTTCTGGCACAGCAGCAACAGCTTCTTGAACGGCAGGTTGCAAGTGGGCAGTACGAGCCAGTATGGTTTGTAAAGCCTGGGCAAACTGATCCATATGGTGGTCTAAACCATCCATTCTAGCCTCCTGATTCACTAACAGCTGTGGAATGTCAGCAGGTTCCATGGTGGCCCTGTTATAATGTCACGATTCGGGAACCTAACATGCTAACAGGTCACAGAGAGGAAGGGTGCTATACCGGTCCTTAGAGTGGCCGGGTTAAAACACACTAAGAATAGTCAGGAAACAAGCCAAGTAAAGGGAGTCAGAAAACAGGAGAACGAGAAACAAGCCGAGGTCAAAGGAATGGAGAATACAGGAGAATCAGAATAACAAGCCAAATAATCGGTAACACTGAGAGACAGGAAAGGTAAGTATATAAATCCTTTGCTTAATTCTGATTGGATAACTTCCAATCGTGACTGACCCCGGCATTCGCATAAATGTGCGGGCTCCCAGCGTGCAGCGTTATACATGCTGGTGCTGTGAGGCGAGGAGGAGGACGCGAGCGGCGAAGGATTGAGGGTGAGTGCTGCAAGTGGATTGCAGCCTCCCCTCACAGCCGCTCGCGGAGCCCTGACACATGAAGCCCAGTCTCCAAAAAGGAGGGGATCATGCTCTGCTTCAGTAGGTCACATTACATGTTGGAATTCATGGTTCACTCAATGAACTGTAGCTCCCCAGTGCCGGCAGCACTCATGCAGGCCCAGACCATGACACTCCCACCATCATGCTTGACTGTAGGCAAGACACACTTGTCTTTGTACTCCTCACCTGGTTGCCACCACACACTCTGAACTAAATAAGTTTATCTTGGTCTTATCGGACCACAGGACATGCTTCCAGTAATCCATGTCCTTAGTCTGCTTCTCTTCAGCAAACTGTTTGCGGGCTTTCTTGTGCATCATCTTTAGAAGAGGCTTCCTTCTGGGACAACAGCCATGCAGACCAATGTGATGCAGGTGTGTGGTGTATGGTCTGAGACAGGCTGAACCCCACCCCTTCAACCTCTGCCGCAATACTGGCAGCACTCATATGGCTACTTCCCAAAGTCAACCTATAGATATGACGCTGAACACATGCACTCAACTTCTTTGGTCGACCATAGCGAGGCCTGTTCTGAGTGGAACCTGTCCTGTGAAACCGCTGTATGATCTTGCCCTCCGTGCTGCAGCTCAGTTTCAGGGTCTTGGCAATCATCTTATAGCCTAGGCCTTTTTTTTCAGATGCTCAGAGAGTTCTTTGGAGTGAGGTGCCATGTTGAACTTCCAGCGACCAGTATGAGAGCGTGTGAGAGTGATAACACCAAATTTAACACACCTGCTCCCCATTCACACCTGAGACCTTGTAACACTAACGAGTCACATGACACCGAGGAGGGGAAATGGATAATTGGGCCCAATTTGGATGTACTCACTTTTGTTGCAAATTTACACTGTTATACAGGCTGTACACTTACTACTTTACATTGTAGCAGAGTGTAATTTCTTCAGTGTCGTCACATGACAAAATATAATAAAATATTTACAAAAATGTGAGGGGTGTACTCACTTTTGTGAGATACTGTATATCATGCTACAGAAATTATAGTGTCTGCTCTGCCCTTATATTCTATAAAGTTAACAGGATGAAGATAATATACCAGAGCACAAGCTACCACACGACAGTGAGTGCCTCAAATGTTAATCCCTATTTTTCACGTCAGACAAGACTCAGCAGCTGCAAGAAGCATGAGATAAACGGTCAGAAGAGCATGCTGTCAGGAAAGCTATTCCAAGGAGCCTGGAGGCCCCTTTTGGATCGAGCAAGTTCAAAGGCTAAGCTGTCCATTAGAAGAAGACAGCCTAGCTGGAGGTCAGGAATGCTGTGAACCCTACAAGTTTGTAATAAAAATAACAAAGAGCTGTTTAAAGAAAAAAGATCTAATGACAAAGGTGTGATCGTTCCTTAAGCAGCACTGGTTCACAAAAAAATGAAAGACAACGGTTGATAAATGTTGGATTTTGGAGTCAGACAGATAAATATAGAAGCCAAGTTAATTTTATTTCTTTGCTAGTATTAATTTTGAATTCAAGAAAGTTTTAGGATTCCATTGTATCTGTACTTGTTCCATATTCCAGTTTTCCTGGCAACAAACAACATCCTTTGTTAATAATACTACTTCCCACATATTTCTAAAACTATACTTAATTTGGCCTTCACCGGCTAGGCACCAAACATACAAATACGCATTATCACTGTGGTTCTAGCAGTGGAGGAAGAACAGAACAATTATACACAGCTGTACTTAGTATACCTTGCATAACTATTCCCCTGCCCGAGACATTTCCACATTTTTTAGTGTTTCAAACTAGATATAAAATTGATTGGGAATTTTACAATTTGTTTTTACACAGCATGACACAAAAGTAAAGTGATAAATATAGATATTGTGTCAACAATAAAACATCATGGGAAATGACACCAGTCTGAAACTAGAAATATTATTTCTGTGGGACATGGCTCCATATCTCTTGGAATTTATCAAATACCACTTTGGCATCAAAGGGTGGATTCTGTTACCCTAGCTCAGCGTATTGCTGTAAGGAGGAGCAACAACTGTGGTCTGTGGTAGTATATATGCATACCTCCCAAAATTTCAATTAGGCAGATAGGGACACTTTATTTATTTATTTTTTCATTCTTTATTTAAACTTGGACAGTGGATGGTACAGATGTTATGGCAGCCAATATCAGTAAAAATACAACAGCAGAATATAGATTTTGGAATACATAAAATAACAACATTTATATATATCAAGACATATCGAGAGGTGATCGCCCTTTTGATAGGTAAGGTAGGCTTTTAAAATAGGTGTCCCGGCTATCGTTTGGTCAAAATTTAAAGCTATATATCTATCTGCTATCCTTGCAGGCACAAAGCATCATTCAAATGCAAAAATTAGATTACAACATCAACTGCCAAGTTATAATATTTAACTGAGGAGTATTCCACTATAGACAGGTTTGTACGTTTATTATAGAAGGTCTCAATTTGTAGGAGAGGAAAGAAGTGAAAAGGAAAGAAAGGCAGAGAAAGAAAGGAAAGAATATATAAGAGAAGGTCAGGTCGTCGCTAAGAGGTAGGGCGTTGCGAAAAAATGGGGATAGAATTTTGCATCCAACTGGATCCATTGAGGCACCAGAAGAATAGGTTGCCATTGGGGGATGGCACCCAGATGACACAGCTCCACACCTGAACCTTTAAAGGGCCCACGTCATAAACCAAAAAATGATACCAAAAACAAGAAAAGCCTTTTCTCCATCACCTCCCAAAAAGGACTCTAAGAAGAGATAGAATAATCCTGTCAAAGCTGGTCTAGCAGAACTTCGGTTCGCGATGAGCCTCCGGTTCATGAGGTTTCCGGTCCTGAATTCTTCTAAAAACATTGTGGGTGAGTGCATATCTTGGAGGTTTAGATTTAGCCAAGTTTAGCGAGTCTCTGGGTTTTTTAGCTGGTATTTTTAAAAACTTTAGCACTACCAGTCCAGCACAAGCTTGGGTTCTTTCCTGATAGGTTACATTTCCTGAAATGATAAAATCAGTAGTTAAGTTTTAGTTAGTGAATCATCCCCTCTTGGTTTTCACCTCAAAAAACAGACTAAACATAAAAATTGGTTAGGCCAGTATGTTGAAATTTTTTCACTTTTAGATTCTTTGAAAGATTTTCTCTCAAGAAATTATTTGGATAAAAATGGTGAGAGATTACGCCCAGTCTCATGCTTCTTTAGCAATTGGCTTCAAGCCTTTCATATTTTTTCCAGTGTTCTTTGTGTGAAACATCCGGAGCAAGGTAGTGGGCTCTTTTACTCATTTTTCAAAGCTTTTTAAAAAAAAATCTTTTCCTTACCTGGCTTCAATATGATGACATGTTCAGGCAAAATAATTTGGTTCAGGGGTTAGTTTAATGCTGAAAGCCAAAGCTATGAAACAACCAGCATGCCAGCCATCAAGTAACAGGCTTGAGGACATTTGATGGACTTATAATGAATCCCAATGTCGTTTTTTAAAATGCATGCAAATTTCATCACAAATGCTCGTCCTGTGCAGGGAGAGTCTATTCTGCAAAAGGGTATTGCCCCAGAAAAACAGTTTGGTCTGCTTCCCTATTTAAAACTCTATCCTGACAAAGAGAAAGCTTGAGTAATTGAGGAGTTTGTTTTGGTTTTAGAATCACAGTTTTTCCCCCTCCAGTTTTTCGCTGGTTTGACAATTAAAAATCAGTTAAAGAAAATATTCAGGTTGCAAGATTCTTAGGTAGAATTGCTGGTCCATTTAGTAACCCACTGTTTGAAAAGGGTTTAGTGCCTAAAAATGAAAAATGTGAATTTCAAACTCATTCACCGTTTGTCCTACCCACCTAGTGAATTGCGTAATGTTGACACAGATAAAAAAGAATTCTCTGTGCCTTTATCATCTTTTGATGAAGCTTTGAACCTGATTAAGAAATGAGGGCATGGTGCTTTATTATCAAATGCTAACAACAAATCTGCATTTTGTTTGCTCCCCATCCATCTAGACTGTATTCCCTCCTTAGGTTGACAGATGTTGACAAATGTATGCCCATGGGTTCATCAGGTTCTTGTTTTTATTTTGAATGGTTTTCATCCATTCTCTATTGGTGTTTAGTAGAGTTGAGCGGACACCTGGATGTTCAGGTTTGCCGGGTTCGGCCGAACTTTGGCAAAAAGTTCGAGTTTGGGACCCGAACTTGACCCTGAACTCGAACCCCATTCAAGTCAACGGGGACCCGAACTTTTGGGCACTAAAATGGCTCTAAAAAAAGTCCTGGAAAGGGCTGGGGGGGACCTACTTATTCACCCTCACTATTTTTAGGGTGAGGGGGGTAGGTAGGGGATAACCTTTTGGAAGGGGTGGAGAATTTTCATTTAGGGCCCCCACCCACCGCTCAGGGGTGGGGGATGGGTGGAGGACAGTAGGTCCCCCCCCTCATTGTTATTTAGGGCCCCCATCCACCGCACAGGGGTGGGGGCCGGGAGGAGGACAGTAGGTTCCCCCCTCATTCTTATTTAGGCCCCCCACCCACTGCTCATTGGTGGGGGATAAGGGGGAGGACAGTAGGTCCCCCCAGTGTTATTTAGGGCCCCCACCCACCGCTCAGGAGTGGGGGCCGTGGGGGAGGACAATAGGTCCCCCCCTTATTTTACTTTAGGGCCCCCACCCGCCGTTCATGGGTGGGGGCCAATAGGTTTTTATTTTTTATTATTTTTTTTACAGTGAGCAGCCACTGGCTGCTCACTGTTTACTAGACATGCCCCTACTCGCAATATAGCGAGTAGGGGCTGAATTTACTAATACTAAGTAACCTTTACTTAGTATTAGTAAATGTGGCTGAAAGACCAATTTAGGTCTTTCAGCCTTTTGGTAGATAGCTCCCTAATACCGTGGGAATTAGGGAGTTATCTACTAAGCGGCTGCAAGATGCAGCCGCCGCAATGAATAGGATCGGAGTTTCATTCATTCAAATGAAATTGTGATACGAACAAAGTTCCGAATTGTGTTCTAACACGAATGGAGAAACTGTTCTCATTCTGTTAGGACGCAATTAGGCAGTTTTGTCAAACGCTTGTTGATTGGCTGCCCTGAAGCTTTTCAAAACGCGCCATTAAATCGCCGAACACCGAACTCGAACCCGATCGGTTACTGAAATGTCCGGGTTCGGGGTCAAAAAATCGTAATGTTCGGTACGAACAACTCTAGTGTTTAGTTAAAATTACAGGTTTGACTACTTTAGTTCATTATTTAGATGATTTCTTGTTTCTAGGTAAAAACAGTTCTTCTGAATGTACAGACCTTTTACAGGTTTTTGTGGATTTGTCCAATTCCTGTGGTATCATGCTGGCTCAGGATAAAACAGTATATCCAACTACCTGTTTATAATTCTTAGGCATTGAGATTGATACACTTAATATGGAAGGTTTCTAAGTTTGTTACAATTTGTACGTCTTGGCAAAATGTGACAGTAAAACCGTTACAATCTGTTTTGGGCCTGCTTTGTTTTGAATCCTGGGTGATGCCAATGGAATGGGTTTTTTCAAAGAATTTGGCCAGAGCCATTGCAAATAAAACCCAGCATTACCACATTAGTGGCTAAAGAGATTAAAGAAGGGTGTCCGTGATTTGCTGCTGGAAGAAAATGGCCACTTGAACACACCGATCCATGACCCACAGCATAAAACAGCTACATTTGCGACTCAGAATGATTATATGGGGCACTTATACAGATCCACAAAGACTCCCTCAATCCCCACATAGCAAGGAGATCCCTGTTATACACCCTGTTTCAAATTATTATGCAAATGATATTTTTCTCATTTACCTAAATAATTAATGTAAATAACAGTCAGCATAATTCTCATGTTATTAACTCTTAAGAGTACAATTAAAATTTTATTGAACAAACCTCCTAATGACAAGTGTATTTTTTTAAAACATAAAAAACTTACAATGCACTGTTCCAAATTATTACGCACAGTACGTTTCAAAACACTTTATAGGTAGTGATGTCCCAAACGGTTCGCCGAACGGTTCGCGAACGCTTCGCCACGAACGGTTCACCGCGGACTCATCATTGAGTAAACTTTGACCCTGTACCTCACAGTCAGCAGACACATTCCAGCCAATCAGCAGCAGACCCTCCCTCCCAGATCCTCCCACCTCCTGGACAGCTCACTAAGAATGCAGCTTCACAATGAATGTAAAATGGATGCTGTCCAGGAGGTGGGAGGGTCTGGGAGGGAGGGTCTGCAGCTGATTGGCTGGAATGTGTCTGCTGACTGTGAGGTACAGGGTCAAAGTTTACTCAATGATGAGTCCGTGGCGAACCATTCGCGAACCGTTCGGCGAACCGTTCGGGACATCACTATTTATAGGTTGTAAAGAACTGAAAATTGTCATTTGTTGTGTTTGCAGCATATTTACTGAAATCAAAAGCTATTTCAATCAAACTTATAAAAACATTTTAACTTTTTAAATATTTTAACAGGTCACGTTACATTTTAACATAGGGCCCCTTATTTGATAGCTGCTTCACAAGTCTTGCATCCATTGAACTTGTGAGTTTTTGGACAGTTT